AACATCTCCGGGGGTCTTCTCGGCGAGAAGAACACCACTCGACGAACAGGTTCCACTTCAGGGCGTAAACACGTCTCGTGGACGGCGCCCGTGCTGAAGTGATGGTGTTAAGTACCTCAGGGGGTAAGTCACCTAGAACCTCCGCGTCCCGTCCAGGGACCAGACATGGAGTTTCCAGAGGTCTGGACGCGGGTGCCATAGGGTGCCCCGTCTCTGAGTCAGAAGATCCTTCCTCAGAGGAATGGGCCAGGGAGGGACTGTCCCAAGGAGCATGAGTTCTGGGAACCAAGTCCGGGTGGGCCAATAGGGAGCCACCAGAAGGACCTGCTCCTCGTCCTCCCTGACTTTGCACAGTGTCTGTGCAAGTAGGCTCACTGGGGGAAACGCATATTTGCGTAGGCCCCGGGGCCAGCTGTGTGCCAGTGCGTCCGTGCCGAGTGTTCCCTCGGTCAGGGAGTAAAACAGCTGGCAGTGGGAGGTCTCTGAAGAGGCAAACAGGTCTACCTGAGCCTCTCCGAACTCTCTCCAGATCAGCTGAACCACCTGGGGGTGGAGTCGCCATTCTCCCGGAAGCACAGCTCGTGATAGCTCGTCGGCCACACGGTTGAGCACGCCAGGGACATACATGGCTCGAAGCGACCTCAGACGCTTCTGACTCCAGAGGAGGAGATGGCGGGCGAGTTGCGACATGCGACGGGAGCGTAGACCACCTTGTCGGTTGATGTACGCAACGGTCGCTGTGTTGTCCGTACGGACCAGTACGTCCCTGCCCTGTAGCGACCTTTTCAAGCGGCTCAGAGCGAGATGTACTGCTAGCAACTCGAGGCAATTGATGTGCCAATGCAGTTGGGGAGCCGTCCACACCCCTGACACTGCATGCCCGTTGTACGTGGCACCCCAGCCGGTGGCAGAGGCATCTGTGAATACCACAGCATGCCTGGAGACCTGTTCCAAGGGGACTCCTGCCCGAAGGAACGAGAGGTCTGACCACGGGCTGAAGGTCTGGCGGCAGGCCGGTGTGATTGCCACCCGGTGAGTGCCGTGATGCCACGCCCATCTCGGGACTCGGCCGTGAAGCCAGTGCTGAAGCGGTCTCATATGAAGCAAGCCGAGCGGAGTTACCGCTGCTGCCGCTGCCATATGCCCCAGGAGCCTCTGAAAAAATTTCAGTGGGACCGCTGTCCTGCCTTTGAACGTGTTCAAGCAGTTCAGCACCGACTGAGCGCGCTGCTCTGTGAGGCGCGCTGTCTGTGCGACCGAATCCAACTCCATACCGAGAAAAGAGATCCTCTGCACAGGGGCGAGTTTGCTCTTTTCCCAGTTGACCTGAAGGCCCAACTGGCTGAGGTGCGTGAGCACGAGGTCCCTGTGTTCGCATAACTGATCTCGAGAGTGTGCTAGTATAAGCCAGTCGTCGAGATAGTTGAGGAGGCGAACGCCCTGTTCTCTCATGGGAACAAGGGCCCCCTCCGTGACTTTCGTGAAGACACGGGGAGACAGGGACAGCCCGAAGGGCAGGACCTTGTACTGATATGCTCGACCCTCGAACGCAAAGCGCAGAAACGGCCTGTGTCGAGGAAGAATCGAGACATGAAAGTACGCGTCCTTCAGGTCGATCGCTGCAAACCAATCTTGGGGACGGATGCATCCGAAAATGCGTCTCTGCGTGAGCATTTTGAACGGTAGCTTGTGGAGGCTCCGATTCAAAACTCGCAGATCCAAGATCGGTCGTAACCCACCACCTTTCTTGGGTACAATGAAGTAGGGACTGTAGTGCCCTGACCTCATATCGGCTGGAGGGACCGGCTCTATCGCGTCCTTCGCCAGTAGGACTGCGATCTCCGCACGCAAGACATGGGCATCGGCTGCTCTCACTGTAGTGGAGTGGATGGCCCGAAACTTGGGGGGACGCCGGGCGAACTGAATCGCATAGCCGAGCCTGATGGTCCGAATGAGCCAGCGAGACGGACTGGGGAGCGCTAACCAGGCTCTCAGAGACCGTGCAAGCCGGACCAAAGGGACTGTAGGCGTACCCGGAGTGGGGCAGCGAGGTGGAACACAGGGACGCGGCTCGGGAGGCTCTTTCTGGGAGGCGGCCCGTAGCAGGGTCTGTGTGTGGTGTGCAGCACTTACCTGGTTCCACGGGGCAGGAGGTGCAGGAGGCGGCTCGGTGGCGTTCTCGAACTGCACACTGCTGCTCACTGGCGACAGAGGAGGCGGATGAGAGTGGTGAGGATTCTGTCCCCCCACTGCTCTCCAGGTCCTCTTCGGACCCAGAGATGGTAGAAACTGCTCTTTTATTGAAAATTTGGGTACCGCTGGTTTTAAGGCCAGCGGCGGAACACAAACAAAACGAAACACAGGATTTTCCACCCGGCCCTCTTCCGGGGGAGGGAGCGATGCAGTCATCGTCTCCTGGAGAGCAGTCCCTTCCATCTCCGGGTCGCCCGTCCTAGGGCCGCTTACCCCTGGCTTTGCCGCCCCTCTTGGCGGGGGCCTGGACGGGCGGGGCGCCCTGCCTGCGACTGGCTCCACGGCGCCGCTTAGGTGGAGGCTGCTGCTGCGGCACGGGAGCAGGGGCAGACGCAGGCGGACGCCCTCGGCGACGAGCAGACTGAGGTGCCGCGGGCGGCGGGGTGGAGGCAGCAGCTGGCCGCCGCGGCAGGATGTGTTTGATGGCCTCCGTCTGCTTTTGTACAGCCGAGAACTGCTGGGCGAAGTTCTCGACCGCGTCGCCGAAGAGGCCGGTCTGGGACACAGGGGAGTTGAGAAACCGGAGTTTGTCAGACTCCCTCATGTCAGCCAGACACAGCCAGAGATGGCGTTCCTGGACCACCATGGTGGACATCGCACGACCCACCGACCGCGCGGTCACCTTCGTCGCACGAAGCGCGAGGTCCGTCGCGATGCGAAGTTCCTGAAGAACTTGGGGATCATGACCACCCTCGTGCAGGTCCTTCAGTGCCTTGGCCTGATGGACCTGCAGCAACGCCATGGCGTGCATTGCAGAGGCAGCTTCCCCACAGGCCTTGTAAGCCTTGCCGGTTAAATCCGACGAGTACTTACAGGCCCGGGAAGGGAGACACGGTTCTCCACGCCAAGTGGAGTTAGGGCACAGTTGCATAGCAACGGCCCGTTCCACTGGCGGGATGCGCGTGTATCCCTTAGCTGCCCCGCCATCAAGGGTGGTGAGGGAGGAGGAGCCACCGGAACGGTTTCTGGCAGTAAAAGGTGCCGTCCACGTTCCCGTAAGCTCCTCATGCACTTCCGGGAAGAAAGGCACTGGGGTGGGTTGCTGAGAACCAGCGCGCGCCACCCCGAGATACCAATCATCCAACCTCGAGGGTTCGGGACACGGTGGAGGATTCCACACGAGCCCGACCCCGTTGGCGGCCCGGGAGAGCATGGCCATCATCTCCGGGTCCGTCTCAGGCACCGCTGGCACCCCCGAAGGAGGCAGCGGTGCCGAGTCGTCGTCCGCAGAGAGGTCTGACCCACCCTCCGATGCAGCGATCGACATCTGGTCACTGGGAGCCCCAAAGGAGACAACCGGTACACACCTCGAGGATGGTCCAGCTTTCTCCAATGGAAGCTCAACTGGCTGCGGAGCATGAGAGGGGTGAGGGCTCCTAGGGGGTTGGTTCCCCGAAGGAGACGCGCTCACCGTGATCCTCAGGTCACCCGCGCCCCCGCCCGAAGCAACCCTCTGAGGAGGATTGGAACGAGGCAGAGGCACGGGGACTCCGCCCCTTTGCAGGAACAGGAGTCTCGACCGTAGCTCCGCGATGGTCATCTTCCCACAATGGGTACATGACTCATCCACAAACGCTGCCTCAGCGTGTTCAATGCCCAGACACACGAGGCAGCGTTTGTGACCATCCTGTGAGCCCAGGTAACGACCGCATCCAGAAACACACAAATAGAAAGTCATCTTTTTCTTTTTAAAAGACGCTCTCTATTTGTGTAAGCTCTTTTAGGGACTGCTCTCACTGGTGCTGAAACACGCAGGGGAACAGTCACTGCGAACACAGACAGGAATGTGCACCTGTCTGTGCGCGATCTCTCTCTCTCTCTCTCGCTGTCTTACCAGCTGTGAAAACAGCTTTTGAGCGCTCGTACGGCGCACCTTACCAGCTGTTACAACAGCTTTTTGGTTTTGCTCAACACCACAGACAGGAGAGAGAAAAAGACGACTGTTCGCGCTGCCGTGCTGTAACGCCCGCACCGGGAAGGAGAGGTCCAAAGAAGAGGCTCGTAGTCACACTCTGTAGGATTAAACATGAAGCGTTTGGCTCCGAAGCAAAAAGCTAGCGTGCAATCATAACAGCTGCTGTTAAATACCCGCGCTGACGAGGACGCGCAGCTGATGCAAATGATTGCATGCCAATGTGCATTGGCTGGTTTTAGTTTCACTCGAAGTAGATTGGCCTCTCTAGCGAGATTCCTATTGGTCAGTCTGACCTACGTTGTAGTGACTGACCGATAGGGAACATTCATTATTATTATCAATGTTGAAACGAGTTGTATACAATTTTTTTTCAGGATTCTTTGATGAATAGAAAGTTCAAAAGAACAGCATTTATTTCAAATAGAATATTTTGTAACATTATAAATGTCTTTACCTTTAGATCAATTTAATTCATCCTTGAATTAGAGTGTTGATTTCTGAAGGATCATGTGACACTGAATACTGGAGTATGATGCTGAAAATTCAGCTTTGATCACATGAATAAATTACACTTTACAATATATTCATATAGAAAACAGCTGTTTTAAATTGTAATAATATTTCACAATATTAGTTTTTTTTGTTTTTGTTTGTATTTTTAGTCAAATAAATGCAGCCTTGGTTAGCAGAAGAGCTCATCGTCCAGGCCTAAATAAAAATATATAAGATTTTTATTTTTTGAAAGAACTATTCCTTGGAATACAGGTTGAGATTGTGAGTGTTGTGGTAGGCCCTTGCTAATTGATTGTTTTGTAACTTGTGTTTTTCTCAGTACCGTATGTAAGCCACGCTTCCCACGCACAGCAGACCCTCCTCCTGCTTTCTCCTCTGCCTCGGTTCTGGGGGGAGGGCTGAGTGAACTCGATCACTTACTACAGGAGCTTAATGCCACACAGTTCAACATCGCAGGTGAGAGCTGATTTTTTAGTAACTTGTTACTAAAAGTTGTTCACTGACTATGTGCAAGAACAGAATATAACCCTGCAAACCCATGACAGTCATTGGCCCAGTCCTTAAAGATGAACTGAACTGAAAAAAATCGACGTTGATAACGTGTTGTTTATGACAATTAAAAGTAAATTACACTAAAAAGTTTATTAAAAATATCAATATAGCTTTTTTTAAGCAACACAAAAATTGCGCTTGTTACGCTGGCAGTTTCGATGACGTCACTGGCATGGTAGGACATGCAGAGGTGCATAGGCAACAGCTGCAGGTCCTTATACACAGACGAAAATGAGCAATTTTAACGGCATGGGTTACGCATTTGAACCTGTGAGGGACAGTCCAGTAGTTTCTGACTACCACCACCACATGGAGGATCAGTTTCAGGCTCCACATAGCCTACAGCACACGATCGTTTGGGGCGAAGTGACTGGTGTGGGTGTGTGAGCTGCCGGAGCATCATGGACACTGCAGTGCACCGGAGTCAATCTTGCAGAGAACAGTCTCTGTTACAAAAAATACACTTGAATAAATACCAAAAAGGGAGTCTATCTTAAATGATTTCTTGAACGCAATGGCCAATCAGAAGCAACACATATAACTGTGATTGGCTACATCACTCAACGCGATGTTATAGCGTTGTTATGACTGGAATGTTATGAATAGAAACTCTGGCCTGTAAATCGTTTATATTTAGTTTTAGTTGTTCTTGTTGCTTTTCTGCAACAGATGAATAAAAATCTATTAGTTTTTATGTTTTATTCATAGATATTTCTAGTTCACGGGAGTCCCGCGAATCGTTTTATTTATAACCCGCACACACTCTATTGCGTTGGGAGTGCACGTCTCAAGGATAGTGTCGGGAAATATCGCTCGGGCAGAATAAGCTTTAGTTCACTCTTCCTACGCTAAGGAACCGAGAGTTGTCATCCAGTCTCTTTGCTAGAGAGAGAGAGAGAGAGAGAGAGACGAGGAAAACAAACAAGCATGCAAATAGAAATTTCTTGGCCGGAAAAATTATCGAGCTAATTTTTTTTGTTGTGCGATTAATTTATTTATTGACTATCGCGACAGGCCTACTAAATAGTCTGTCACTAAAAAATGCTCACTACAGACTCGAAATCCAGGGGCTGTCGGAGGGGCTAGACAGTTTTAAGGAAGCTAACGTTAGCCTTGACTTGAGGGCTGGTTTCCTTGTCAAAGGTAGCCTGTGAAAATGTATCGTAACCCCAGCTGCCTTAGCCCTATACAATTCATTACTACAGCCAGGGGCAATACAATATGAACCCCCCCCTAGACCTGTTGGTTTCTGTTTCCCCAGCCATGTCAGCTAGCCTCAGACTATTTACATGCTATGGCTGCTCTGCTGGTGTTGGTTGGCAACGGAGTAGCCTACCATGCCAGTGACGTAGCCGAATGTTGAAATCCAACATGGCGGCGCCCGTGTAACAAAAACAACATTTTCAACGTACAGTTTTATCCCTTTTGACAAATTCTGCCATTTTAATAATTGTACCAATGATAATAAATAAAATAGATCTGTTATGTCACCGTTTTTCAAATTTCAGTTCAGTTCATCTTTAAAGGGTTAGTTCACCCAAAAATGAAAATTCTGTCAGTAATTACTCACCCTCATGTTGTTCCAACCCCGTAAGACTTTCGTTCATCTTCGGAACACAAATTAAGATATTTTTGATTAAATCTGAGAGCTGGCTCACTCCTTCATAGGCTGCAAGGTCATTTAATCTGCCAGCCCAGAAAAAATAGTAAAGATATCGTTAAAATAGTCCAAGTGACTACAGTGGCTCAACCTTAAGTTTATCAAGTGACGAGAATAATTTTTGTGCGCAAAAAAACTAAAATAACGACTTTATTCAACTATTCATTTTCTTTTGTGTGGGCTTTTGACGTGAGTTCACGAGAGCGCCACGACGCATGCGCAAGAACTGAGAAGATGACACTCACGATCATTTGATGGGAAAGTGTGAAAGGTAAGCCATTCCTTTTGTGGCATTGGTAAGGCACTTTTACGTTTTCTCGTTGGTTTCTCACGATTCGGATATCCAGGAAATGCAAACTTTAGAACCCATTTTAAACACTACATCGAGACCCATCTGCGTCATCTTCTCAATTCTCGCGCATGCGTCGTGGCGCTCTCGTGAATTCACGTCAGAGCCCCACACAGAAGAAAATGTATAGTTAAATAAAGTCGTTTTTTTTTTTTGCACAAAAAGTATTCTTGTCACTTGATAAACTTAAGGTTGAGCCACTGTAGTCCCTTGGACTATTTTAATTATGTCTTTACTAACTTTTCTGGGCTGGCAAGTTTCAATCCCTTTGAAGCCTATGCAGGAGTGATCCAGCTCTTAGATTTCATCAAAAATATCTTAATTTGTGTTCCGAAGGTGAACGAAAGTCTTACGGGGTTGGAACAACATGAGGGTGAGTAATTACTGAAAGAATTTTCATTTTTGGGGAAACTAACCCTTGAATGTGTCCTACCTTTAATTTAAAAAAAGAAAGTAGCTGTGCACAGTATACAAATTATCTGGAAAATACACGTGATCAGTTAAATTTGCTTGTGCACAACTGACTGCAGACTGCCAAACGTTGGGTTCAAATGCAAAATAAGAGCATTTTCTTTTTAGAAATTATAATATGATGGCACTTTCTTAATTAAAGGTGAGGTGATATTGTAAGGTCATGTGATAACAATGCAGAGTATTACTATTTATCATTGTACAGGATTGTTTCACGTCCTGTGTTTTCAGAAATAGTACCCAGATAGCAAGCAATCATTGAAACAATGTTGAGTCGATATTGATGTGTCAATGCTAATTGCATTGAATTAAAGTGTAACTAAACACTAAACCAACTTTTTTTAATTAATGATCTGTAAGACTGGGGCTTTATTAGTGCTGTTCATTGATTCGAGTAACTTTTTTGACATTTGGGTATAAAGTGTTTCAATTCTACAATATATGGGGTAAAAACGTCTGAGTGCTGCCCTCTTCAGGTTGAACGGTGGCTACTGCTACTGCCTATTGGATGTTTGCGGTAGTTCGTGACGGTAGCGGTGAGAGCTGACGCAAGCAGGTTTCAGCTTACCACGCCCTTGGTACGAGCTACCACGTCCATGGCAGTATAAAAACCATCTTGTTTCGTGAAAACCACTACTGTCTATGGTAGTGAGTCAGGAGTTGGAATTGCGAGTATTGAAAACGATCTGGATAGAGTATCCGTTCATCCCCTCTATCTCCGCTGGGCTCCGCCCACTTTTCCAGCATTTTTCAAATATTGCCAGTGGGTGGAGTCAGGCTCTGACCAGGGGTTTAGTTACCCTTTAACGTTACAAAGTGATGTTGGTTTAATATAATTTTTGCACCCGCAATTAATGTTGAAACAATGGTGAGATTTCAACAAAAATCCATGGTAATGTCATTGAATCAACGTTACACTATGATTGATTCTACACCACCGCTGTTGAATCAATATTGAAATAATATAAATAAATATAAATAAAACAAAAATAATCAATAGTAATGTTATTGAATTAATGTTAGACTGTGATTTTAAAGTTTAACATCACAGTCTAACATTAATTCAATAACATTACTATTGATTATTAAAGGCAGGGTAGGCAGAAATCCCCAAAAATACTTTTTTCCAAATTTGTTTAAACTGTCTTTATATATCAATGCATAATTAAAATGTAAGTAATCTGGAAAATAAATTATAAAAATCGAGTGTCTATAGTCCTCTCAGGACTGCAATAAACACAGCTCATTATTCCATTCGGGGCGAAAGAAAATATTGGCTGGGGCCAATATTATGAAGCTGCAGACTCGGAGCCTGCATCTACAGTCCCCCACCGAGAGTCCCGCATTCTCAGACCCCTCGTTTTTCGAACACAGCGCCTCCTGCTGTTCGAAAGATTGTATAACACCCGCACACAGAGTACAGCGCACGCTTATCCAAATGCAATTAAAAACAATAGGATGCAATATTACGGTCTCCAAATAAATGATCCAATAAATATTTGCCTTCCCTGCTTAATGCATGTGCCAAAAAAAAACTCATTGCGATGGAAGGGATACAATTACAGATTGAACTATCTTCTGAAAAATAGTATGTGATATTATATTGCTACAATGTTTTTTTATATTTGTTTTATTCAAATTCAAATTTTTCTTTCAGTTCAACCTATAATGGTCTAATTAACATTACCATGCTAACATTACAAAATCTGTTTTTTGATATTTTTAATGCGAAGCAAAACAAATCAGAATAGACAAAACACCAATAATAAACAATTCTGTACTTTAATTAATGATCACCTAAACATCATCTTGCTGTAAAGAAAAAAGGAAGAAAAAACTGTGTTCGTGACTTTACTTTTCGTCTTCAATTGCATTAAAAAAACTAATTTATAACTCGCTTTGCATAATCATAAAATGATATGTTGCTGGGTTCGGCAGGGGCGACTCCATCGATGTATGATGTACCCTGGAATAGCCTACAACAGTATAGACCCGATAGCACATGTCTTATGATGTTTCAAAAAGAAAGAAAAAAAAAAAGAAAAAAGATGTTTGCAAATGTTACCTACATGTTGCACTGCTCTGTTGAAGTGTCCCTTGAGATGTTTTTGAACTTTGGACAACTTTGTGGGTTTGAAATATATGGGGGCACAAAATGGGCAGTGAAAATCACTGCAGCATTTATGACATATCTACAAAAAGTCCAAGGTTAAAGGCTAACGTTAGCTATCAAAATATTTTCGGGGGGAAGAGGGCGAAAAAACATACATTAACGGCTCAAATCTTGTTACAAACTATCTTTACAAATATTAAATGGACTATTCATATGTTGTATCGATGAGCTAAATTAGTTTTATTAAAAAATAAATAAAACGAGTAGGCTACTACGATTCGCTAAATAAAATTGAAGATAGCCTACTCACG